GAGAGAGTCATGTATGATCCTATTTAGAATAAATACCTTTTTTAGTCCCTAACAAAAAATATGGTCCCCACTTTAGTCCTTTACAAAAATAAATTATTCAGTCAGTCCCTAACAAATTCAAAGTGGACCCATTTAGTTGAAATCGTGGTCCTCACAAATTCAAAAAAGACCCATATTAGTCCCTCAAAAGGAATAAAATGGGTCCACTTTGAATTTGTTAGGGATTAACTGACTAATTTATTTTTGTAAGAGACTAAAGTGGGGACCGCATTTTTTGTTAGGGACCCAAAAGGGTATTTACTCTCCTATTTATACACGCAATTAAAGGATTTCTTAAAGTGTTTTTTTTTTAAATATAATAATACACTTTCCAATTCCAATGTAGAAAGTAATGGGATTTTAAATGATGTGTCTGCCCCCAAAAAATGTTCAACTCTTTTCCCATTCCCACTATATCAAATTTGAAATTCAAATTTTAAAAAAGTAGTGGGCTATTAATATAAATATCTGCCAACAATTAATGCTGAACTCATTTCCCACCTAATAAAGTTTAAATTTTGAATTGTACAAATTTACTAAAGCAAGAAAGATTTTAAATGGTTTATAGTGTGAACACAAACTTGAAATTGAAGGAAAGAGCGACACGTCAGCAAACTTGCCAAAGAATGACACTCCCTTTTAATATATAGATATAGATGACTTTTTCATGCTCTTATAATAATATAATCCTATTGTTATACGAAATTAATTTTAACTCGAAAAGTTTAATTTTATATTATCGGTTGATTTTTAAATATAATTATAAAACTAATAAATTTAAAATCTACTGATAAAATAAAGTAATTATTTTATGAATACGTAGATACAAATCATTTACATATAGAAAATATACCAATAAAGTATTAAAAATAAATATCGATGGTATGATTTTTTTTTCAATCAATAGTAAAGTATTAAATCATTAATATATTTCCAAATGTACAATTAAATAATAAAGTACTGGAAAAAATGACGAAGATAACTAAATTATTATTGTTGTATTCAATTTAAAAAAAAATAAATGACGAAGATAACTTAATATATAGAAAATTGAAGGAGAGACAGAAAATGGCGAAAGATTTTCTACGCAAGGATTTGTAACACCATTGGAGGGAAAGGATTCGAATAGTTTGCTTGAATAAAAAAGAATCTCAACTTGTAAGAAGTCACAAAATATGATTTCTTTTAGTTGTTCTACATAAACAAATGTCAAAAAGAAAATAAGGTATAATAATACTCCCCCTCAAACTCAAGGGGGTGAGAGCTGAAGAACAGACTCTAAGAGACTTTAGTTTCTCTCTCAATTCTACAAAGAGAACATGTAAGAGAGCCTTAGTGAATGTAATTGCAATCTGGTCAAAGGCTAGAATAGGTGAAACAAAGAGTTCTTTGGCTAGAACTTACTCCTTAACAAAGTTAATATTGAGCTACATGTCCTTCCTCCATGCATGTAGAATTGGGTTATAGGACAAAGCAATGGTACTGAGGTTGTCATAAAAACATGAGGAATGGACATGGGTATATAAAATGTGTACCTGTCAAAAACATATAACAGCCCTATCAGCCTTACAATTTTTTATACCATGAATTTCATGCATATATTTCCTATAGTGGTAGAAATGGCAAAACTCAGTCTAAAGCTCAAACCAAGAAAAGCTTGATAATCTATACGCACAAAATCATTTCACACCAATTAATATGAATTAGAGTCTTTTAACACAAAAACCTATCAAAGTATCCTATTTAAATAAGTACTAATAAAAGAAGAAACAGGATAAATTATAACAAGGGAATTATGGTATTTATAGCATTAGGGTCTTTTTTAATATACAAATATAAATAATTAAAAAAAAAAAAAAAACTTATATTGTCATCCTGACAGCTGCATGATAATCAGAGATTGCATGTTATCAAATCTTTGGAAACTTCAGTATAACTTATCAGAATGTATGAAGTAAAGATAACTAAACCATGTCAGAGTGGCCTCACCTTTTATACTTTGTTACAGTCCATGTACCCCAAAAATATCTTTCAACTAAAAAAAAAATAAAAAAATCCCCACAAGCTTAGTCGTTTTACTATATATAGATACTCAATCCACATTCCAATGTAACATAGTCTCACCTTAAGAACCATGAAAATCCCACTTTCAACCCTGCAAGTGTTCCATATCTTCAGCCCATGTGCCCCATTCAGGCCATCAAAGCCAATGTCATGGAAAGATAGTGTTCCATATCTTGCGGACATTGTCATCCTGGAATGCTGTGATGGAGCAAAGTAAACTTCTGCAGCATGCTACAACCATATATCTGATACGTCATACAATAGGTGATTTTGCTGAGGCACTGGCATAAAAAATGCCTGGAAACCTCAAGGTCAGTTTTCTATTCATTAGTTGTTTCAAGATTCCTACTTCAATTCTATGTATAGGGAACTTTATTGTAAAATATTATGATGACTGTAAGATTTCATAATGTCTCTCCTTCTTGAAATGTCATGTTTCTAGCACTAAGCCCTGATATAGTTTAACATTACCATGCCTCCAAAACAGTGACAGTGTCTCCATGTCATTATTATTATTATTATTTTTTTATATTATTGTAATTGAATAAGTAATGGTTCAATGCAGACTAAAACAGAATATAATTCTCCTACTTCAAATCATGAGTGAGGGCTATATTGCAAGTGTGGTCATTGCGTTTTTATGTACCACATCGACAAGCTTTGAAAACTTTTATTGTTTATATACTCTAACAACGCCTTCGGATTGCTGAGCCTGGTGGCGCTGGCTTGTAACCCGTGCGGGGGTAATAGGATGTTGGAATGGTGTTGGAACAGTTCTTGATCGAGATTATGTGTTTAGCAGTGATCAGAGACGTGATGTAACTTACAGCTAGGCGTGTTGCTAACAACGACCCCCGTCTCTGATTTCTCCCGCTGACTTTATCAGAGCAGCGATGCAGAAAAGTTCAAGACCTTCCAACTTTGTGCTGTTACCAACATTTTTTTGCCAAATCTAAAAAGATTTCATTTTATGTTTTTGTCCGGTGAATTCGTATTTGTTACACGAGCAAGAAATCCAAAGCTAAAAAGATTTCATTTCATTTTATGTTTTTGTCCGGTGAATTCGTATTTGAAAATCCAAAGCAAAAAGGATTTCAATAGCTTCAAAGCACATTGCTTTTTAGAAGTTGAAACCAACCCAAAATGTGTGATATTTTTCCAAAAAAATAAATAAATTACATAGCTCTTGAAGTGAAACTCAAATGAAAAAAGAAATAATCCTACGTTAAATTTGTTGAAGGATTGCATATTAAATAATACAGTATTTAATACATAAAAATAGTTCAAAAATTTAGGCACAAAAATTAATTAATTGCAATTTAAACAAATAATTATGAATTTATTACTGTTTTGAAATTATTTATTGCAATGTGTCATGCTCTGATTGAGCGTGACCACTCACGCCTAAGTTGAGCGTGATCCACAAGACATTCACACCTAAATTAGGTATGACTCATCTCATGTTGACATGTGATACAAAAAATTTATAATTTAATTATAAATTTTTTACTTTTGTATAATCAATACTGATTTAATATTGTTAGTTAACTAAATTGGTTCATAATTGGATACTTAAATTACTGATTTAGTATTGTTAGTTAACTAAATTGGTTCATAATTGGATACTTAAATTTCAATAGACTTAGATAGAATTAGGAAAGTATTAAAGAGACTTAGAATTAGGAAAG